GAGAGGATTGTTCTGGACTGGGTTATAGGAGGCTTTGTGGAGGAGGTGAGAATGACCTGAGCCATGCTATCCAGGTAGATCTCAGAAGCACAGTGAGAAAGAGGTGTGTGTTAATAAAAGCACTTTGGGAGTAGACAAGTCTCTACGAATGTCCAGTAGAAATGCACTCTTTTGGAAATAGAAAATTTTTTAGCCTAGAGTTCCTTACCTCTTCCTCCATCCCACTCACATTCACATATAACAGCCTCTTTCTACTCCTCCCCACAGCAGCGCATTAGTTCTTATAAAAAAAAAAGGACAAAAAATCTTTTAAATATACTAACTCATAGAAGAATGCAATTTTACAGCTTCCCCACCTGGTGTAAGAATTCTCTAAATACACACCTCTTTAAAGTAAAAGGGGTCCTTTAAAATGACTGGCCCTCAACTTACTTGAAGACTTAGCTATTAGTGTAAGAAAGGTTATTAAAATGTAGTTTCTGACTTCAAACAAAGCTTGTCACGGTGCAAATGAGGACAGTGTAAAAATAAGAGGGAATGCAGGCAGAGAGGAGGAGGAATCTGGAAATGTATGATTTGATAAGAAGAACTGGGAGGTTTCACAGACAAAAGATTTTCTCAAAATGAGTTCAAAAGCACTTGAAGCCTAGAAGGTTACTTATAAAGTAAATTCTTGGAGCTTTACAAAATCCTTCCAAACACAATTTCAAAGGATATTTTGAGGGAGGCATTTAGAGGAAGGCATTTTCAGAACCTCCATCTCCAACACGCCATAAATTCTAGAATTTAGTGTAAGAGAAAACAGACATGGAAAGGACTAAAATAGCAAAAACATAGTGCGAGGAAGTGGATGACCAGGCAGAAAATTCCACTCTGTGGAGTTTGACTTTTTAGTGGAAGCAGAGAGACTGGCTAAGGTCTTTCTTCTTTTAATGTATATGAGGCACCACGTGGATGTGATCATTGGGAGATTTTACTAGCAGAGATGAGGATTTTGAATAATCTAAATCAATCAACCAATATGACAATGCTATTTAATCCATCACTTAGATGTCATGACTAAAGATGCTTACAGACCTTTCAAAAAGAGCACACCTAAAACTCTAACTCATTGGCAAATCAAAGAATGAAATCAGGTATAAATACAGACTGCAAATACTCACCAGGTTTCGTGAATTTGACCACCAGAATGCCTAATCCCCTTTCCTCCGAGAGAACGTTGATTAGCCACCAACTTTCTGGTGGTGTGGAAGGCACTCAGCTCTTCAGTAGCTGTATGCCTTTTGGTAATCTCATGTATATTCTACTCAATACTCAGTTTCCCCATGTCTTCTCACTCTTAGATTCACTTCATTGTGGACATACACACTTACTCTTATCCTCCCTCTCCCCCATTTTCCCCCCACCACCTCCCTTTTCTTTTTCTCCTTACTTCTTTGTCCACTATGATTTGTTACTGTGTCAATTTACAGAAAAATTCCCATTTCTATTCATTTCCTTTTGAGTCCCAAAGAGCGATCATTATTGTGCCTTTGTTTTTTGTACGGAAGGACTTTCTTAGGGAGTCTGAGCAGTGTACAAACAGTTAAGACGCAGGTGATCCATCCGAAGAGTGCCGGGCTCGCAAACAACCTCAAAGTTCATTAGTTCAAGGGGGTTGCTTTGCAGTGTGAGCCCTATGAAAGTTCATTTCTATGGAGAAGATTATCTGTTGATTTTGCCAAATGCATGAAGGGCCACCCCTTCAAAAGATAGAGTGCAAGGAAATTTGTTTGGGTTTCTCAGCCTCCTTAAACAAGTCTCTGTCATGCATCTCTACGTAACATCATGTCTGTTTATTTTATGTCTTTTAAAATGAAAAGTTTTCACTGATATTAATAAAATACAGCCAGTACCAAAAGCAGCACATTTTGGGTGCTTCATGTTTTATATGAAAATCAGGCTTCTAGAGGTGAAAGCTGATTTCCTGACCCCTACAAGAGGTGTTACACACATATTAGTATTTAGAGAATATTTATGATCACGTACTTATCACCCATTCAGCCTCAAGCATCATATGAAAGAGATGTATTTTTAAATATATGTACCAAACTTTAATTTTCATTTCACACTCAAAACTTCTGTACAAAAAGAGGCAAAGCAGGCAAAACAATTACAATGACTTCAGCAAACAACATATGACAACTTTAAAACAGCTTTGTGTATGCAACAGCCTTTATGTAGTGGTAGATTGGGGGTCCAAAGATTTGGTCTCATTGAGATAAAATTCCAGTGTTTTTTGTTAACATCTAGAAAAATCCATTGCTGTCTAGGTTACAAGTTTGAATGAGATGTCTCTGAATCCTAATGCACCAGAGGATCCTAAATTGAGTAGGCTCTGTTTTCTTTTTCTTTTTTCTTTTTTTAAGGAAGCATGACATTTTGTCTTAAATGGGATGGTGTGTAAGAAATGGCAGTTAGCCATTCAGATCTTGGTACAATGGTGATGACAAGGAGCGAATGTTGATGGGGCATAACATCAACTAATAATTAAAAGATAGTATCCAAGATTTTCTTTCTGGCTGTTAATTAATACTTTGGCCTTAAAGGGTCACCACAACTCAAAACATTCATTGCCACTTGTTTGCTTATTACTAATTCTTAGTGGCACATGAATGGTTACTGAGAATGAAGTTATAATGCCAAAGTAGCAGTGTATCTAAGAAATGTCATTTTCGCCATGTTGCTCGCCTGAAAATAAATATATGAGTAATGGAAAACACTTTATTAAAACCTATGAGACATCAACTATGAACTCTAGTTAACATCGACATGGATACTGTTGCTAACATGCCCCCCTCGGCCCCCAAGGGTCTCGGATGCCTGTGCATACAGCACACACAATAGCATGATTGCGCAAAGACTCTCCGTGCCCAGAGGACAGTGTGTTAAACGACTGTCTCCCACGACAGCTCTGGAGTGGACCCAAGGTCCAGCACCTGTTAGTGATCACAGACATTCAGTTAACCTGTCCTCCTGATGACCAGAAGCAACCATTCAGGGTCTGGACTTTGGGGAGTCCATGTATGGGGAGTCTTGACTCTGGAACAAGGTGGCCTATCTAGATTGGGGCAGCCCCGCAGCCCCTCCCACTTGGTCCCATTGGATAGAAAGTCTAGCAAAACATGATGAAGGTGCTCAAGTATTTTCTCTGAAAGGCCTTTCCTTTTTCCAACACTTATCCAGTCACCTGATGAAGGAGGAAGAGACTCGTGTCTGGCACCATTTCTGGTCTTCAGGGTTGTAAGGATAACATGTGGCTGCCAGAGAGGAGCTTTTTAAGCTGAGTGTCTCATGAATTTGCTTACGTGGTAGTGCCACCTTCTCTGGCTCTGGGGGTCTTGGAACCCTTAGGTTGGAAAAGTCTGAAGGCCACGCGTGCGTTTCTGTTCTGATGAGGGCCTCCTCCCCTCCCCCCCACCAAGGCAGCTGTGCCTGTTCAGCTTGGAGAACTCTAAGGAAAAGGGTCTTTCCTGTCTCTGCTGACTGACATTTAGAGATGGGCTGGGGAATCTGTTCTGTCACTTGACTGGATTTCTTGGTTAAAAATAAAGCAAAAGCCTACCCCTCCTTTTCTTGGAGGACTTGAGGGAATGCCAGCTGGCTGCTAGAGTCTGGAGAGCTGTGGAGTCTGACAGCTCGTTCCCTGGGACGTCGTAGAAGGCACCAAGCCCTGGTGTGCCCGGACCTGACTTCCAGAATTATCTTTCACCGGGCAGCCTTTTCATTCTATCAGAAATAGGCAAATGAGGACATAGGCCAGACTGTGGATTTATTTAAGCTCATCCAGTCCCACCCCATAGCAGTGGTGAGTAGGCCACATGGTGATAAGGACAGAGCAGGGAGTCAAGAGCGAGGTATCTTGGGTTCCAGTCCTACGTCAGGGTGGTCCTGTCGGGCTTCATCTTGTCTCACTTTCCCACCAGGGGCCAGAACGGGAGACTTCGGAGATTCCGTTTTAAGGTCTCATCAGCAGACAGGGTGACTATAGGGCTTGTCATCTCAACAATTCTCAAAACGAGGAGGCTGAGGCCAGATTCTACTGCCTAAGGGCGCAGCGAGTGGCCATTTTATCATCTCTGAGTCTTCAAGGGCTTGGAAATGGTCTGGCTTTTACTGTCCATTTTATAGGTGTTAACACACAGAACTTAGGTGAATTTCCTCAGATCATGCTGTGAATGGTTCATAGAGTTAGGACTCAATAAAAGTCCTCAGGCCAGAGTTTGCCCATTGCAAGTGTCAGCACTGGGTCAGGAGAAACTGCCTTTTAAATAGCAGGTAACCAGAAAATGTGGATGTTCCTTCCCTCCACCTAATCTCTCTGGTTTCTGGAAACTCCTGAGGAGCCTTACACCTCTTGTTACCACATGGATAGCCCTGAAAGTGGGGCTTCGGAAAGGGGCTGTTCCCTCAGCACTGAGGCAACTGCGACATCATCAAATAGCTCAGAGCTCTGAAGCTAGAGCTCTGGCTTCCTGTCCCTCTAGACACAGTATGGTATAGAGAGATGCAGGTCTGGTCACCTGGAGCCCCACCTCCTGGCACCCCACCTCGCAACTTGGCCCCAACTTTCAAGACCACCACCTCCAATAGCCCAGTAGATATCCTCAACTATCTCCCCCGAACTGTGGCAAACACAAGTGATTTTCCCTTGCAGAACCATAAGGGAACATTAGAGGGATATAAGTTTGGGCAGAAAGGGGCTGGGAGACATTTCTGTGCAAACAGAAAAGTTGCAGGTATAGTTTGCAGGCTGAGGAAGGAAGGGTGGGTGGCTGAATTCAAAACCACAGAGTTTATGTTTTCACATGCATTTGTCTTTTCCTGGATTCCTCTCTCCCTCTGTCAGAATAATAGTTGTATTTCTTGTAGCTGAGCTGATACAGGAAATCTAGGACTTTGTGTTTTTATAACTCTACTGCCCAGAGAGATGACACACCTAGAATTAAAGCACTACCACAAACTATTAGAAATTTCAGATTGTTACAGGTGTAGTTAAAGGACCCCAAGACTCAGTCTCCAAAGTGCCTTTGGAGAAGGGGTTTTGTTTTAGACATCAAAGGTAAGGCTCTCAAGTCAATTTCTGCTCTGCTGGGTTGAGTCAGTCAGGATACAATTTAAGGTCCGTATATTTCAGTGACAAGGAGGAAACGGTTATGCAAATACACAAGTATTAACATCAATCTGTATTAAATTATGTAAACATATACATCTTCTGAGGTCGGCGCATAGATCCTCTTCTTTGAGCTCTACTGGAGCATTGCTCGAATCTGTTTGGAAGTCGACTCATCATTCAAGTGCTTTGTAGTGAACCTGGTGTGGGGGGGAGAAGGATGGAGGTCAGTGTGCAAACTGGGTTCTGGGAAGCTCCGAGTGCCTCTCCAGCTCTTCTGAACCTTGCAAGACAAACTGGTAAGTCAAATTTAGAGAGAGCTGCCCTTGGGTGCCTGGAGTACTCTTGGGCTGATTTACTACCTGATTCCTCCTTCCAAAGGAATTTTGTCTTATGATAATTAAACAAGAAGATCTTTTACCTAATCAAATAATTGCACAGGTGTACCACTAAGCAATCTCGTTTTCCGGGGAGGCGACACCCCGTGATTGAGCGCTGACTCCAGAGCAGCCGGCCTTTCCCTCTCAGCTTTCAAACTATGGATTTGCATAGCAACACATTAAGCCCTGAGGGGTTCACTGGTTTGGCCTTCAGGTGATACCATCTGCACTGTTGCCACAATGGGCTACAAACCCTGACAAGTGGGGCAGCTGTGTCCTCCATAACCCTGGTGTGGAAATGGCTGAGAGGAGGGATGGACAGGGCCAGTGTGTCCTCCCCCACGGCCAGGTCCTGGGCCCCCCGGGGTGCTTCCATTTCACCCGCACGAGCTCTGCAGAAGCGATGCCTCCACCAGACAGGTGTGAAGACTGAGGTCCAGGGAGGCCCAGGAACGGGGCCAGGTCCCCAGTCTGCAGACACGTGGGGCAGAACAGCTGGTGAGTTCTGTTCTGAACCAGGAGTAGCTGCCTCGAAAGCCTGGATCTTGCACCCCTCATACCGCCCACGGGAACACAAATCACCCACGGAGCCCTTGGGGGGGCACGGCCATCACAGTGGCTGCTCGCTGAACCCTCTTGATACTATGTGGAGAGGCCTGCCAGCTCAAGCCCACACTGTCTCTAGAAGGTCAACACCACTTAATTCTCATGTGCAGCGACTTTTAGGCAACACTGGAGAAGAAGGACGCCAGAGCAGGGTGAGCGTGGCAGGGCGGCCCCCACCTGGGCCGCAGTGACTCGGCTTAGGCTGCTGCTGGGTCACCTGCTCTGTGACCTCAGCAAATTATTTGACTTCTCTAAGTCTCCGCTTCTCTCATCTGCAAAATAAGAGGTGGTAAAAATGGCTCTGGCCCCCTGCGGGCTGTGGGGTGATGAACAGCCCTGAGATAGCCAGGCTCAGACTGGGCTGCCGGGCCCTCCCAGCACTCACGGGGGTGGGGGGTTGGGGGCGGCTCCCCGGGGCTGAGGCTCACCTGAGGGCATTAAGCAGCCCCTCCACACTGTCTGGGGCCTGTTCCTTCAAAACCTTTATGCAGCCTTTCATCTAGGAGAAAACACAACATTTGTTAAGATCCTAGTGACTCTGCCCGTAATCACATCTGTTTACAATAATCTCACGGTATTTCTGCCCAGGGAAATCAAACACAGAAATGACCCACAGACCTTTCTGCTCTCTCGGGTGCACAGTTACTGGCTGGGCCCTTATACTTTGCCTATTACACTGAATTGGAGTAGTCGCAATATCAATTTTGCAAGTCTGGAATTTGGGGACAAAGACTTATTTTTCTAAAGGTTATTTTACTTATTGATGCATACAAGAACTGGGGCTTAGGCCAGAGGTGAGGGGGTGAGAGGATTTACAGAGACAGAGTGGGGGGCAGAACAGGCAGATGGACTGAAACACACTGCTGAGGGGAGCAGCGGGGAGACGGGAGTGGTCTGCTGCGCCCTGGGGGTCACTCTCTGGCCGGGGATCGAACTCGCGCTGCAGTGGCTGGCAATGAGATTCTAACCACTGTACCACCAGGGTGGCTCAAAGACTTAGGATTTTTATCTTATCTTGTACTCCAGAGCCAAGGGCAGGGTTTCTTCCGCAGGTGCTGAGTTGAGACGGACCGAAGGAAGCACAATCCTGCTAACACTGTGCAGCCCCTTTGTCAGTGTGATCTCCCCCCTCTGTCTGCCTGGCAGTCTACACTGATTTTAGGATTTGGCCGAACACCATCACCTCTCCTGACCTTGGGCCATCTCCAAGGAGAAGTAACCAGCCCAGCCGCGGATGCCCAGGAGGCTGCTGGCGTGTATCAGAGAGCGCCAGAAGTCTCCTGGCCCAGGCGGATGTGCCCCCCTCGCCAGGAGAGGGGAGGGCTGGTGAGGGGCAGAGAATGTGCCTCTGGCAGCCGGAAGGCCCAGGGTCCATCGTGGCTGCCGCCCAGTGTCTACGCTGAGTTAAGGGCGATCAAAAAACCTTTAAGTGTTTTTTATGTCTTGAAAATATGATTATTCATCCTTTGGGAAGTACATGAAAAATAAATCCCTAGACCTCACATTACAGTGTGCGTGTGCTGGAATGTTTCTTGGGCAAAGGAGCAGTGTTCCTGCAAAGCATAAGGCCAGTCGTGTTAGATGCTGAAGTTCACGCTGTGGGAGGTGGGTAGCGACCGGCCTTAGAGGGGCTTCTTACAGACGCTCCCTGTGGGCACAGGCTGGTTGTCAAATGTTTTTATCTTAAAGGTCTGACAGACCCTGGCAGATAGAGGCAGCCAGAAGCACAGGGTTGAGAGTCATCTGGGGGTCACGCACGTGTTCCCTATACAACCCATGCGGGCACCCTTGGGGTGTAAGAACCCAGTGTATTTAGCTCCTGGCTCCAAGCACACTGGCATCTGAAGAGGACTTTTATGTGATGGATGAAAATGGCTCATCGAGAATTTGTGCTGTGTTTGGGAAATCCAAAACCCTCTTAGCGACGCATGTGAACCTCAGGCTGAACATTTTCTTGGTGACATGCAGATGAACAAATAGTCTTCACCAGTTACATTGAGCTTTATATAACATCTGTGACCTTAACAGGGAGATTCAGTAAGTGACAAGCAAGGACACTCTTGTAAAGATTAGAACTATAAAATACAGTTGTATCCAGTGTGCTTTTAATCGTTGACTCCGTGACTGGTTAGCAAATAGACATGGTAAATGGGGATGTCATAGGAGTGTCAGGTGATGAGCTCAACCCACATTCAAATGATATTCATGGATTCGCTAATAGAGTTGTTTACATCCAGTCCATAGTATAGAAGTGTGAAAGCTTCACAAAGAATATGGTGAAATATATATTGGTATGAAAAAATATCCATAATATTCTGCTGTGCAAATTAAATGTGCCTGAAAATAGCAAGGGGAGCAGGGAGCTAATCTAAGCGCACAGAAACATCCACACAGAAGGGAGAGACACGCATCGGCCATGGCCATCTGTCTGTGTGAAGCTACTACAGATCCACTTAATTGTCTGCATTTTTATTTCTAGCATTTTCCAAAGCCTCTTACACTATTAGTTTTAATAAACAGAAAGCATTACATTAAAAATGAAGACTCGATGAAGAGTCCTAACTAACTGTGCTAGGAAATCGGAACCTCCAAAGACTCATCTGAGCTGCTGTTTTAATTGATAAATTTCCCTTCATTCTTCAGACTCATGGACCCTCTGGGCATGCAGATTTTCTATGTGCTCCGTGCAAGAGCATTAAATATGCTGATCTGGGCAGATGGATGAGCAGAGAATGTGCGGCCCAACTCAACCATGGCAGAGTAAGTCAGACCAAGAGGTCTTAGTCTGCATTTAAAGGGCTTTAAATTGATACTTGGGACACACTTCTGGGTGATGCAGCAGGAAAAAGCAGGACTGAAGGGAGGAGATCTCCACCCCACCACACACAGGGCATCAGCTGCACACTGCGATTTCACATTGTCAGCAAACACCCCATGGCGCCCGTGTCCAGGGCCACGCTCCCCGGCTGGGTGGCGCCGGGCCAAGATCAGTCCTCAGGTGTGGAGACCAGTCTCGGCTTCCGCCAACCAACTCAGAGTGTGTGAGGGAGTCAGAAAATGTGAACTAGCCAAGCGCTTGGAGGCCCAGAGGGGAAGGAAGGCTCCACCCCACACAGGGCACAGGCCTCCAGCAGAGCTGGCACTGAGGGGTGTCTTAGAGGAATCCGCCCCTCAGAGAAGGGGGGGGGCGCGCTGGGCAGGGAAGGGGAGCAAACATGTCCCAGTGATAAGAAAGGGCATGGGTAGAGGCACTGGGAGTGTACGGCAGGAGAAGTTGGGGAGTCCCTGTGTTTGGGAACCCCACTTCTCACATCTGTGTTGTAAGCCACGCTGGAGAAATGAGGCTGGGAAGCTGCAGCTTATCAGGTCAAGAAGCAGAAAGGTGAAGGAGGTCAGGACCCGGGTCTCTGTGCTCCTGCTGGGCATTTGGGGTTGGCTGCCTCAGTGGCAGGACATGACAAAGACACGCCATAGCGAGCCTGACCAAGACGGACTGGTACTGCAGAGAGCTGAGTCTCAGCAGGGGGCGGGGAGAGCAGGAAGGTCTGTCAGCAACATTCACACCCCCTCTTCAGAAAGCATGTCACACGACTGTTCTTACATCGATCTTGGATGTCTTGCAAAAAGCTCCCACGGGGTGGACATGGTCGTAGAGGATGATGACCCCCACCATCACCCTCATGCAGAACATGAGCGTTTCTTCACTTGTGAACCGACTCCTGTACTCCCTGGAAGAGAGCAGAGGCCGTGGTATTACTTCGCTTGTGTCTGGCAACTTTAGATCCCTCCAGCCCTCTCCTGAGAACACTCCCAGGCCTGCAACGACCAGGTTAATATGCTCTTGAAGAAACCTGTGATGATCATGCTCCTAGAATCTATCCAACCAGCAATTCAGTGTGAAAATAAGCTAAATTAGAGGGCAGTAAATCTCTTCTCTCCTGCCCTTCAGCGAGCCAGCTCATCACACACATCACTCCCCCACCCATCCATCTTGAATATTTTATAGCAGGTCCCTCTGGCTGTCCAAGATTATAGAGAGTAATGGCTTCATTATGAAGGAAGAGAATCAGGCTCATTTCTATAGAGCAGCTATCCTGTCTCTAGTCAGGTCAACTTTCTTTGTTAAGAAACAGCTGCAAACTGAAGTGGACTGGGAAAGGGACTGAAGGGAAATTATGGACCATCCACTGGGCTGAGAGTATGTGGAGCCTGAATTCTGTTCACTTACCTTGACATGGTCCCCAGTGATTCAGATAATTCGAGTCAATACGAGAGGTTGACCTGGCATCTACTTTATTATGAATTGGCCCCACAAGAAAGAGGGCTACTAATTCTGTCTTGGAATAAATCTTGACTTCAGCTTGGTGAAATATTTGAAGTTGAAGCTATTTTAAAATCTTTGACCCTCTAAAAACACTCCCCTAGAGTGGATAACATTATGGGGGCCTCATCAGACAAAGGACCACAATACTCATGAGTGGCCAGAACACTTGTCCATGGATAGAAACGGGGCTGGAGAAATAAGTGGGAGCCTGACTTTGGAGTCCACAATTTTTCACCACAATGAAGTCGCAACTAATTTTCAAACCTAGAGATTAGTTTAAGTACAAAAAAAGTGCCGAGAAAGAGAAGAGAGCACATAAGAGAGGAAGAGAGAGGAGAAATCTCCATCATCATTTTCTTTTTGACCTTATCACATCTGTTCTTGGTTGTACATGTTCTCCCAAACTTTTGTTTTCAAATGTGTAAATATACATAAGAAAAAAGAAAGTATATATTTTTCTAATATATACTATACTATTATATTAACAGTATATAGTCAGGTCAACTTGCTTTGTTTAGAAATAGGCTGCAGACTTAACTGGGCAAGACACTGAAAATATATAATATATATATATATATATATATATATATATATATTAAAACCCAGGTTTTTAAATTTAATACTCCACTCTATTCTTGTGTACTGCATCTTTGATTTGAGTGTTAGTTCTGCCACCTTCCAGGCTACCCAAACTTGGCTTCTTTAGCTACAAAATGGAGACAACGACAACTATAACTCTTCATGAAATTCACACAAATGCTATAGATGTAAATTTTAATGTGCTGATCCAAATGTGAAGTGCCATCACCATCACAACCCATCACCACCACCACCGCCATCATCACCATCAATATTACCATTATCACCGCCATCACAATTATCACCACCAACACCATCACCACCCTTATCTCCACTACTACCACCATCAGCAGCAGCCTCCTAAACACCCCATTTGGGGAACCCTCCACCCCAATACAGTTCTGAGCTGACTTACGGAGTCTCCAGCATGACTTTGCACACACTCGTCATCGTGCTGAGGCAGTCTGTGGTGTTCTCTATTGGCAGGGTTTTGTTCTAATAGAAGACACATAGGTTAGCCTTGCTGGAGGTTATGTGCAATTAAGAAAACAAAGACACTTCATGGTTCAACTTGACTCACTTCAGAGACAAAGTGCATTGTGGCATTGCTAAGGGTTTTCAGCATTGGTGTGGCTTCTGCATAGAAGAGGGACATTCGATTGGCCATCTCGTTATTGACTTCATTCTCAATGTCTAGCTGATGAGAGAAGAAAAGATGCAATTGACAAAGAGGTGATCAAAATCTCAAAACAACATCCTCTGCACTACAGAGACTCTCTATTCTCCTGTGCCCGCCTAATGTGGACACCAAAAGCTGGACGGGAGCAGCACCCGGAGCCCACGGACTCACGTGCATGTTGTTGATGCGGTTGCGACTGATGGTCCTCCGGTAGTAGCTGAAGTCGTTCTGAATGGCCGGGTTCCGCATCTGAGTTTCAGAAGAGAGAAAAGAAGGTCAGCTCTCAGCAGCAGACGGAGAGAGGCATCAAATGTGCGGGCACCAGATTTAGTAGATACACCGGGACTTCTCTTCCTTACACCAGAGCCAAAGAAGCTCCCGGTTAAAAATCAATATTTACCGCCTCATCATGAAGCCTGTCCTGCTTCCGCCATGGGCTGGATTTCAGGGAAAGTTTATTTGTCTTCAATGAGGAACAGACACTTGGAAAGGTTTCCTCTTACTACATCTGGCAGACTGTGAATGTCCATGTACACAGAACCCCATCTTTATCACTCTGACCACGCGGAATGGGATCCTCCTCCACATCATGTGTTTCTATGAAGCCCGCGTTTCATCTTTCTTCTGTCTATTGTCCTCTCGCCACAGAAGCATCTCAGCAGGCACTCAGAACAAGCTATGGGGCTCACCTTTAACTCGTCAAATCGAAGCGTAAAATGCAGAATTTCTGCAAACTCCTTTGCCAGTGCCTGCTCCCGTTCCAGGTGTTGGGTTGGCGTGTAGGGTGGGCAGGTGAGAGATTCTAATAAACTCTGAAGGGCTTTTTCTGAAAGTAAAAGGGATAAATATATATATGGGAGGTGACCACAGAGCGTTTTCAAGAAGCAAAGCACTTGCTGTCTTTTCAAATGTCGTAACAGCCGTCACAGGTGAGACACGGAAATGATAAACACACACTCACCTAGCCTTATGGAAAACTCATAAAATCTCTTTAGCCGCACGACCAGAGGACACACCGCATTCCAAGCTTTTTCTTGAAGCTGAATATCGTTGGGATTTTGAATTGCCTATAAAGAGACGATAGAATTGCCTGCTGAAAATGAGGCGACATGCTTCACCTCAAAATGACCTACGATGGAGAAAGGATTTTAGCTTAAAATGATCCCATTTGTGATGCACTTTGCTAAGGTGGGCCTCAGCGACTGTCCTGCAAGGTGCCGATTTCGGCACTTGAACCTCATACACACAGCCCTATTGTGACAGCCCATATCAATGTACTTGTTTCTCTTAAAAAAAAAAAAAAAAGTGCACATCTAATTGAAGCAATTCAGCCTCCTCCATTACCGCTGGGTTCTCCCAGGGAAGTCAGTGCTCACTAGGGAGTTCAGATTCTGTAGCTATTCTGCTTTCTTTACACCGTGTGTTACATTCCTGCCAGTGTGACGTACCTAATTACCTAGATTAAACGGGGACCCCAAGTAGAAACACCACCTAAAGCAGGCTGGTACTTTTTCAGAAAGACTGTTGTGTGGGTTTCTGCATTTGGTGACTAGCATCTGTGAACGGTTGTTTTTTGCATTCTTTATCCAAAGGACGTTGACAGAGGCAGTAAGGGTTGTGAGGGGTGAGAATGCATGTGTTGTGCTGGCTGGTACTGCCACCAAAACTAATTATTTCAAATAAAAGGAGTGTGAAGTGTCTTGCCTTCAAGGAATTATGAAGTCTCAAAGCCATGCTGACAATATTCTTTTTTGTGTAGCTTTTCATGTGTTTATTTATTTATGGAATCTCCTAAGTCACAGCAAGATGACAAACCTGCAGGCTACTCAAAGCGACATCGTGTACAGCTGTTGCCTGTGATGCGGATGGCACCTGTCCAAGCTATTATAAAGTCTTGGAAAGTCACATAAACCCAGACCTCCAGGACTCACATTTCAATGGGTGTCCAGAGACCACAGATGCTCACGTCCCTTAAGTGAAGTGATAGACGGACAGATCACTGTTTAAATGTGAGTCCTGTGTCAAAGGTCTAAGAAGAGACCGGCAGATATTTTATATGGCCACAGCAGCATGTGTGTGCAGATTGACAGACTAGACCAAGGACCGTTCATTCACCTTTCAGGCCACAGGCTACCACCCTGTTTTCCTAGGGCATTGGACATGCTAGGGCAGTTACTTAATCTTGCTGTGTGTGTGCGTGTGTGGGTTTCCCTTCTGCGAGGGTGTTGTCAGCTCATATTATCATAGGCATACATCTCGGATCTCTGGCCCTGCGCCCTTGTAAGCCTGCAGGTCTGCAAGGATGCTCTCGGAATCCTGGAGGACAGCGCTGATCTGGTTCCAAACCTCCCGTTCTCCCTCCGTGGGTTGGGCATCTGAGAAGAAGGGAAACAAAAGGACACAGAAGACTTGGGTTTACAAAGAATTTGAGAGAAGATAGCAGTTCAGTTCCACCTGCCAGATGTTCCTACTTTATAACATAAGGAAGTGGAATTGAACAACTTCTGCTCAGTTCAAAGGAATCAGCCATCATTTTTTTTTAAAGATTTATTTATGTATACAGAACTGGGGTACAGGCCAGTGGCGCAGGGATGGTGAGAAGAATCGCAAGCAGTAGAATGGGGAGCAGAACAGGCACACTGACAGAATACACTGCTGAGGGGATCAGCAGGAGAGGTCTGCATGCCATGTGGGTCAGCTCCCTGGCCAGGGATCGAACTCGTGCTGAAGTACCTGTGGCTAGATTCATAGTGCTGTACTTTAACCCGTTGCACCACCAGGGAGACCCAATAATGATTCATCTTTATGCACACAGTAAATCCAGTGTGTTGAAATCACTATAGACATGATTATTTGTGTAGACACATCTTTTGCACACCCACTATGCACCAGGTGGTGTACTGAGAGATAGGAGTAGTAAGTGTGTGTGGGGGGTGGTGCCTAGTTTTAATAGAAGTTGTTCAATAATTTTGCTATGACTGACAATCCATAAATCTGAGAATAGATGGGGAAAATAGTGCTCCTCATATTTTTAGATGAAAAATAAGCTTAAAATATGAATGAATCCTTAAGATCCATGTCAGAGATGGACCCTTCCAGGACACCAGGCTGTTTTGGAAGCATTAAAAATCTTCTTTGAACATGAACTCAACAAGCTCAGGGGTTTCATTTTAAAGACACTTGTAAAGCTCAGCTTTGACCATGAATGACTGTGACCCACAAAAATGAGTGGCATTTTCAATATCGTATCAATGAAGAACCTGTTCTAGTGGCCACTATAACACCATCCCCCCTTAGCTTCTCCATGAATGCTCAGATGATGACATTTTGGAGTCAATACAAATTCTTGTTCCCAAGAATCTTTTGTGGGGGGTGGATGGAAAACTGAATAGTGGCAAAGGCTGGATTCTAAATTCCACAATCCTATAGATAGGTTACTTGCTTGAGTGTGTAAGGAAACTAATTTCCACCTAAAACAAAAACACTGCTAATGGAGAAAGCGATAGATAGATACTCCTGACAATCCATTTTCATAAATCCACACCTTAAGGGAATGCACTCCCTAAAGAGAATGAGAAAAGGTTGATGGCAGGTAGGTGAGGACAAAGCTGGCCCTGGAAGGGGAGAGACTCAGCGGGTTGGAGTCTAGGAATTAGCAGGGGGTGACATCTGCGACTCCTTCATCTGTTTTGACCTCCCAAAATTCTCCACAAACACTGGCTAAGTTTCTCAGACCCACTGCTGTTCACCATTTCATATGTGATTTTTCCCACTCTCCCAAACATTTCCCCAAATACGGGTGTCTTAAGTAGAAACCAAAACCTACAAGCCAGGAAGCCTGTAACTGAAGAAAGCAAAGAATTCCAAGGTAGTGCTGGAAATTTCTAGTAAGAAAAATGCAAGACAAGGCCTTAGAATAAAACAAATCAAAAACACACATTATCACAACTTCTTTCCCCCGTTGATGAGTGGATTGAAAAATCACAACGGAGCAATCATAATTTCCTAGAACGATAGATATTTGAAAAGAAAAATCGAGTCTGTCAGCAAGATTCTGAGGAATGAAAGGTAAGACTGTGTGAACCTAGTTATCAAGTCGGATGTGGATCAGAGAACATCTATTCTGGCTGTTACCTGCCCCGTTTGGCAAGTCACCACCTGAGAAGTTTTAGACAAACCAGTGTCAAAGCCAAGAGAATTAAGAGAGTCCTGCTGGAAGAAACAAAAGAAAGCCCCACTTCTGATAATGATTTACATGCCAAAGTTTCAAAGGCAGTTTTACATATGACCCAGCAATCCCACTCCTAGGTATCTACCCAAAGGACACAAAAACATTAATTTAAAAGGACACATGCACCCCCATGTTTATTGCTGCTCTATTTACAATAGGGAAAATGTGCAGTCAACCTCAATGCCCAAAAATAGATGACTGGATCAAGAAGATGTGGTATATATACACAGCAGAATATTACTCAGCAATCAAAAAGATGAACTCATGCCATTTGTGGCAATATGGATGGAATTGGAAAAGATCATGCTTAGTGAAATAAGCCAGAAAGAAAAAGAGAAAAACACTCATAGCAGGTGTGTAAAGGATCAGGGAAAATGGAGAGGTACCAGCTGGCAAGACACATGTTTCTTTCTCTCTCCATCCCAGGAGAAGTGACACTTTCTAATCCAAATAACCCCTGTCATTATGTGACCACAGACGCCCAGGGGTGGTGTTGCTAAGGTGTCAGAGGTGGGGTGTGTGGATCATACCATCCCTCCACCAGCAAGTCTCTCTGGCTAGACAGAGCCACAGGGGGCCTCAGTCTGAGCCCCCCCATTCCCCAGGGAAATGTTTCCCTTGGCAGATATATACTGGTAACCTGCCAGAAATGTTTCTCATGTGGTCTGGTTTAGTGGGGGTGAGGTGGGAGAAATCCAATCCATCATTTTTTCTTTTCTCCCGATTCAGAAAGGTGCTAGTTCCCTTTCTCCCTTAATGCATCATTAGATGCCTTATTTCTCCCTCTTTCTCCAGTCATGGAACTGAAATCAGTTTTCCAGCTCATGATCCAGGCTTAGCTTTTCCAGACTGAGCTGCTGGGGAGTGGGCATTGTGAGGTTCTCAGAGCTCTCAAACTGCAAGTGATGTCAAATTCCAATGCGAAGAAAATGACTGGGAGAAGCTCTAGTCTGTGACCTGTCTGCTGATCTTTTCAAATGGAAACAGAACTGTGTGACTGTAAGTACCATGTGGTCTTGGCTTATGACTGTGGAAGTCTGTGATACTTTCTACTTTGAAGTCGCAGTTAAACCATCAGGTGGTCAGGATTAATGAATGAGAATCTGGCCCATTAGACTGCAGGGCTCTGAACTTGTAAGATATGATATCTCCAGGACCTGGCATGTGGCCTGGCACATAGTAGATGCTCAAGAAAAGAAAAACAAAACAACCTCCTGAATAAGTTGTTGAATGAATGATTGAATGTACTTCTCACACTGTTTCTTGATGGCTGGTTTTTGAGCCCTGACATCTTGGGAAACACACCTGTGTTCTTGTCTTCAGTACCCCCAGGAGTCTTTGGGACACTCATCAAACATGTCAGGAATCAATGAACAAGTAAGGAAACAGACCCATTGGGTATTGGGAAGCAGTGAAGGGATGAAGACCTCTTACTTGTAGGTCCTCTCCTCTGTCAGTTCCCCCCAAATAGCTTTCATTCTGTTACTTTGTCACTGTGACTATTAAGATGTATGTATTTACCTATAATCAAATAGTCTAGTCACATTTTCGTCAACACATTTATAACTCATCTGTCATTTTCTTATGGTCTCAATGTCCCCTCAGTGAAGTGAACATATTAATAAGATTTTTGTTGAGTGAAAAAACTACATTTTTGTTTACTCTTCCAATCCTAAAGCTATTACTAATTTGCTTACTGGAATACTCAATGAGAGGCTTTGGGTCTATACATTTGACATTCTCCATATTCAGATTCATGTCTTCAGATGTCAAGGAAAAATCTCTTGAAAGAGATCTAGAAGGATTAATGATTGAAAAGTTTACAATATGTAACCTATCAGTAACCTCCTAACGCATTTGCTGAGTGAATAGGAACCTAGAATTATGGGCTTTATTTTTCTATTTTTAACAAAGACTGACCTTTACTCTAAGGTACAGACACACACATAGACCCACCAATAACATTCCTGATGGAAATGGCTCCTTCCTGTCACTGTGGATGAATTCTTTGGTGATATTTTTTTCAAAGACATAGCCTCAGTGTCTAATCATCACAAGTATTTCATCAAAATTGAGGAGAATGGTTGCCTAAAGCTGGACTGTTCCTAACCAGGCAGCTGTTAAAAATCCATGTGATTCACACAGGCAATTTCAGAGCCCAACACCTCCTGGAGCTTTGCAGCAAGACAGTCCAGACCACCCCAGGCAGTGAGTTAAACCCCTGCTCCAGACCTGCCGTTGTGGAAAGCATGAAACTGGATCATGTGTACTATGACCTCAAATGCATACACTACTGTCAAGAACTCATTGAATTCCAAGTGCTTCTTAATGAAAAAATTCCCTCTTATCAATTAAGATAGCCAAACAGCATGAATTTTGTTTACAAGGGATCTATTTATTCACTTTTGGCACAATCTGCAAGTGACAGTAGATATTCACTGTCAGCATTTTGATGTCACAGGAGTGAGGTGAAGAGTTCATGGGGAGAACCCGGATCGGATCTCGACTGACAGTGGAATGTTTGGCATTCCCTGTGGGGTGGGGAGGAAGGTGGCCCTGTGCTGTTTGTCAGGAAGGAGCATCTTCCATGAACATACCCCAGGGCACGGCTCTGAGCAGAGCAGGACTGTCAAATCAAAGTGTTCTTATCTTTGTAAATCAGCCAAGGACTCAGTCTGTCTTCACCAGCAGCAGGAACACACATACCTCTCTTAAAAACCTGTTTAGGAGTCTGGCCCCTCTGACAGAGCATCAGACAAATTAACCACAGATAATGTGGGGAGAAGACACCATTTATTTGGAGATGTCTTAGGCTCTGAAGGAAGCCCTGGCATTTCATCAATGGGGTGCACACTATCTCTGCACCCCGCCTGCTGCTGTATAAACAAGGAGGAAAGATAGGTGCAGAAAAAAGGATTTGCCAAAGCCATAAATTAAACCTACAGCTCTTCTTCCACCCACTTCCTTTGGCCTCCACCCTCTCCCCTTCAGGATAAACAAGGAAACATACATAATTATCTATCATTAACATCTGGGATACAACCGGTGATGATTTACAGGAGCATACTAGCTGCTTGCAGAAACAACACAAAACTTCAAAGGTCTGTTGGGAGATGGAAGTGTGACTGCAGGACATGTCGGTTT